AGAGCCTACGAGTTTTCTCTTCTCCACCCAAGATATCTCTCCATACCCAACTGATTGCTAACCTTAACATTAATCTCCACCCTATGCCATACACTAGTAGTGTTGAGAGGTTAAGCCACCTTCAGTCTGCTAAGGAGTATTATATATTTGAGAGTGTTTAAGTTAAAAATAATTGCTTGAAAATAAGTGCTTATTATTCGAATAAATTCTTATTTGTATTTGGCACCCAATTTTTTCAAGTGTTTATTTTTCAAAATAAGCACTTATTTTATATTGGGCGTTTGGTAATTCTTTTTTGTCTAATAAGCACCTGTGACTATCTTGTCCTTCATTTTCTTTCAAATTTTCAAAATATACCCTTTTGAAAGCACTTTTATTAAATTACTTTTATAAAAATATTTTTATGAAAGTACTTTTATAAAAATATTTTTATGAAAGTACTTTTATGAAAGCACTTCTATAAAAGTACTTTTATGAAAGCACTTCTATAAAAGTACTTTTACGAAAGCACTTTTAAGAAAGTACTCTTATAAAAGCACTTTTGTAAATTATGAAAGCACTTTATAGTTTATAGAAGTACTTTCATAAAAGTGCTTTCAAAAAATACTTTTGTAAAAATACTTTCATAAAAGTGCTTTTATAAAAGTTCTTTCATAAAAGTACTTTCTTAAAAGTGCTTCCATAAAAATATTTTTATAAAAGTGCTTTCATAAAAGTACCTTTATAAAATTCAACTAGGGGTAATATTATAAGTGGTATTTTACAATTCAACTAGGGATAATTTTGGAAGAAAAAATTGAATAAGTGTTTATAAGCACTTAAGAAAAACTAGAAATTTGGGTTTAAAAAATAAGCACTTATTTCGGGTTTATTTTCCAAATACCAATAAGTGCTTAATGGCCCAAATAAGCACTTATTTTTAAGCACTCCTAAACATGGCGTTAGATTGTTTGATAAAATTCTTTTCGCCCTTGCATGTCGATAGGAGTGGTAATTGGGTAGGTTTGGGCCACCTAACCCACCAATTCATTAATGACCAATTAAGATAACCCAAATCCACTTTGCCCAATTCAACCTGCTCAACCCATTAATAGAAATTATAAAAAAAGAAAAAGAAAAGTAACACAAATTATATATAACAGAAATTACAATAAAAAACAAACAGAAACCAAAAATTACGCAAAAATAATGAAATTGTTAAATAATAAAACAAAAATTATAGAAGTTGTAGAAAAAAATAACAGAAACTACACAAAAGCAAAGAAAATGAAACTACAGAAGCCAGATTTATATAGGAGGTGATGGAGCTCCCGGTAATTGAATACTTCATCACAATTGTGAATGATATTGAGTGGGTGCTCATGTACCTCATCATTCCCAACGCAAACAATGATAGCACCTGGCCCAAACATTTGTGTTCATTTTACCCTCTGATTTTCTCAGTTTGTCAAGCATCGAATAAGAAGTATATGATGAAATAGATGAATTAAAAAAACAAAAAAAAAAGGTGTTGCCGCCACTTTGAGAGAGATATTGGTGTTGTTTCTCTTATCAATTTGATCACCACGTACAAATCATAGGAGAGAAGAAATCACCAATGCATTTGTCTCTCAAAATCTTAGAAATAGAGAAGTTTAAAGTACTAGATGGGAATAGCTATGTTGAGATTTAGCATTTTCTTATGATGTTCTTGTTTATAATCACTAGTTAGTGTTATTGGGCCCAAGGCCCATGGGCCCAAGGCCCATTGGTTTATATTGTTTTTTTTTTTAGTTATTTATAATCACTAGTTAGTGTTATTGGGCCCAAGGCCCATTGGTTTATGTTGTTTTATTTTTGAGTTGTTTTTATGATATGAATAGTAGCCACCCATTAAGGGCATATTAATCTTTGTAATTAATCTTTTTTTATGAGTACATAAGATAATGAGTAAGGCGGCTATATCATCATTGTCTTCTCCCCATCTCTTCTTCTCTTTCTCTTGCTCTCTTCTCACTAAGAACTTTTATTTTCTTTCTTCTTTTTAATTGTTGTCAAATCTGGTTATTGTTTTCTCCTTTTATACTTAGTATCAGAGCAATTTTGGGATTTTTTGAGTCTTCCATCATGCAACCATAGATCAGTCGACTGCATTGTGAGTTTGAGAGCTAATCACATACTTCAAAAATACCCAATTCTTAGATTATTTTTGGTTGATCTAGAACCCTTTGTGTCAGACCTTGGGTTGATCATCAAAATCAGGAAGAATTAGAGGACGGAGAGTCCTTATTGCAATAGGATTCTTTATTTTTCACCTAGGAAGGAGTGCTCTAGATTTTATTGACTTCTTGATGTTTTTTGAAGGGTCTGTTTAAGTTCTAGAGTTTTCTAAGGTCTCTAGTGGGAGTAGCATCCTTTTCTCCTGTTTTTACCAACTCCCACAAAGACAAGAATCTTTGTGAATGAAGGTTTCTAGGCACCAAAAGGTTGGTTGAGACCTCTAAAAGGGATAAATCTATTATCTCATTTATAATTGATTTTCTAAAATATTTGTGAATTATGGAGGACAATGGAGTTAAGTATAAGTCTACCCATGAAATAGAACTAGGTGGAGGAGGTTTTAGTAACCTTCTTGGGGTAAGGACCATCAATACAGTTTGGTTGGATGGTACAAACTAATTGGAGTGGTTACAATCAACTAAAATGGCTATTCGTACTCATGGAAAATTGGGGTATGTCACTGGTGAACAAAAGAAACCTGAGACTAACTCTTCCTGGTGGTTACAAGAAAATTAAATGGTGGTGACATGGTTGTGCAATTCTATGCTACCCTATATAAGCAAAACATTTCTATGAGAGAACACAACTAAGGAGATCTAAAGTGGAATTACAGAGACTTACTCACGGAGTAAGAATGCTGTTAGGGCCTACCAAATGAGGGATCAAGTGATTGCTACTAGGCAGGGAGATAAATCTGTTGTAATTTATTTTTCAGCCCTCAAAACCTTATGGCAAGAGATAAATCAATTGGAGACTGTGGTTTGGGAGAGTAGTAAAGATGCAGTTACTTACCAAAAGCTAATAGAAAAGAATAGAGTGTTTGAGTTTCTAGAAAAACTCAACCTAGAGTATGATATTGCACGACAACATGTTCTTTTTCGTGATACTACAACTTTCTCTCTCAAGCACATGCCTTTGTGTTTGGAGAAGAGAGTAAAAGGAATGTGATAGTGAGGAACTTAAACCTTGAGTAATCTGTTATAGTAGCACAGTGAAATCTAAGCCTAGTAGGGATAAGGGTAATAATGATGATAGGAAGGAGGATAAAAACTTGATCTGTTACTACTGTAATAAGCCTAAGCATACTAGAAATACCTGTTGGAAGCTTCATCCACACCTTATACCAAGTCAACTTAGAAACAAGAAATGGAATGCTAATTTGGCAGTGGCTGGTGACTTATCTGGACCACCTACCACAGTTTCTTTGGAGTCAGTTACAATAGCTACAGTTAGAGTTGAGTTAGAGAGATACGGGCAGTTTTTAAATTAGAGAGATGCAACTAATTTTGCATCTTCATTAGGTGGACAGCAAGGTGCAAGTAGCCCAAGAGCTAGTTATTCTACTTCATTTGCACACACAAGTAGTTCATATGCCTATATGTGATCAATCATATATACCTATATGTGATCATTCATGAGTGAAAATGCCAATGATTTGTACAAATGGGGGATCACACCACATGTGGGCCCATGCATAAAGAATACTGGTGTGTTCACCCATGATTGGTCGTATGGCCATTAATTCATCCAATTCCCTCGCATTAAGACTTATAATTAATGTATTAATACCTATTTTCTTCAATCCTATACGCATTTTTGTTTCTCATCATTGAATTTCACTAATTTTGTACAAAAAAATTCACTAATTAAATCTATATGGCTATACCATATAATTTTAATAATCTAACAAAAATTGTAACTATTTTTCCATGCATGTATGTAGTAGGTTAGAGTCCAACCTTCTTAGTCAAATCATAAATGAATCATCCATGACATCATAATTAAATAAAAATACAAAAAATAAAAAATATGAAAATTTCTTAAAAAACTTAACACTAATATTATATATTCATCATATTTAAACAAAAAATAAACATGATGAATTAGAGGTATGCATTTTTTAAAGATGGAAAATGACAATTTAAAATTAACTAGAGAATAAAACTGTTTTTCCATTCAAGAGGTGGGTTAATGGTGGTCCAATGGGTATGCCAATCCATGATGTCATAATGAAATAATAATATTTTTAAAGTAAATAGAAGTACAAAAAGTTATAAAATTTTGGTCTTGTCTTCGATATCATATATTCATCATAATAAACAAAATTTATTGGTATAAATGATGAAAATTGAATACAAAATTTTAAATCCACTAGAAACAAATCTGCTCTTCTATTGGGATGGTGTGTCACTTGTTTAAACATCAAAGTTAAATAGTCCAACACATGATTTTATAATTAAACAATAAAAATATATAAAAATCTAAAGATGGCAAAGGAAAACAATTTACCCACGAGTTGAACCTATTCTCTCATATTATATATTCATCATATTAAATAAAATATGTAATAAATAATAAAAATGATATTACTTGTTATTGTAATATGAAATTGCCAAAACCGACCCCACGGACATCCCTATTTGTCAATTTGAAAGAACATCTTTGAGCCAAGCCAGGGTGGTGGGTGGATGTGATGTGGTGATGAGTCCAACCCCCCAAAGACAGAAAACAACAGGAGAAGACAAATTTTGGGTCTTTGAGATAAGAACGAGGGGAAGGGTGGTTTTTGGCAAAACAAGCATAGTCCATGGTGTCTCTTGCCATTTACGCAATCATAGTTATTATTTATTGAAATAAAGAAGTTAATAAAAAATAAACTCTAGAGATATCAAATTTTGATTTCGATTTTTTAATAAATCTGGAAATATATATAATCATATAAATGGAGTTTATTCGTCGATTTTTGCCCCTTTGGGCTCTTCTCTCTCTTCTCTCTCCTCTCTCTCCTCTCTCTCTCTCTCTCTCTCCATCACAAAAGGGGAAGAACCCTAACGAGCTATTTACAGCCTGCAAGTAAGTCTTCTCTCTCCTCCTATCCTCCCTCCCCCTTAATATCTTTCTGTCTATCTAGAATCTAAATCTATTGGAACCTGTAAAATTTCGTATGCATTTCGGTTTGTGAAATGAAATAAAACTGCGACTTTGAATTTGTAATCATCTCGATGTTTGTTGTTTTTAGAGATCCGAGTTCAAAACCCTTAAAACTGATAGATTTCTGACGAAAATCGGAATGCAGTGTTGATGGGTTTCTTTGGGGATGTTTCTGGCGGTGGTTTGAATATTTGTCTGATGTGGATATGAGTTCCGATGTAGTTGTTTGATGGGATCTTTGTCCATGAAGAACCGATTGTTTTAGGTCTAGTTTTAGTTGTCTTTCCTGTATTTGATTTGTTATTTATTTGTTGTTTTCTGGGATGCTGTTATTTTGATGGGGTTTTCTGTGTTTCTTAGTTCTGGTTTCATGGCGGTGAGTTATGCAGGCAGTGTTGGCAGGTTGCAATGTGGTCGATGGGTTGAACGGAAATAAGAAAAAGATTTGATATTTTTTCAGACGTCTTCGCCATTTCTAGTTATCATGGACGACGACGGATTGAATATTCGAAATTGGGGTTATTACGAACCCCAACACCTTAAAGGGCACCTTGGTCTGCAGCTCATGTCGACTGTAGCAGAGCGAGACACTAAGGCCTTCTTCGCTGCACGTGATTCTGCGGCAGTTATGGTTAGTCCAAATGGAGCTTTTCACCCTAGGGATTGTGGGGTCTCAGAAGCACCTGTTCATATGGATTATATGAAGGATAGTTGGGCCACAGCCACTAGAGAAAGACTCCTGCATATGATGCCAGGGAACCCGAATTTTGCTGTTTTATCAGAAGCATCAGCAGCTCATCATCCCTTGCAGATTCTACAACCGCCTGATTCGTCAAAGGATGAAAGGGTGGCTCGAATGGAAGATTCAGGAAATAAAAAGGAAGGACCTTTGAAGAAAAGACAAGGTGGGCGTGCCCAGAAATCCCCCAAAGCAAAGAAGCCTAAGAGGGTTCCGGCGCCAAAGGATGAGAGCAACTCTGCTGTTCCACGAGCAAAGGCTGCAAAGAAGAGCACGGGAGTTGTCATAAATGGGGTTGATATGGATATTTCTGGTATTCCAATACCAGTTTGCTCATGCACTGGAACTCCTCAACAGTGTTACCGATGGGGCTGTGGTGGATGGCAATCAGCATGCTGTACAACAAGTTTATCTATGTATCCATTGCCAATGAGTACAAAAAGACGTGGTGCAAGAATAGCTGGAAGGAAAATGAGTCAAGGAGCATTTAAGAAAGTATTGGAGAAACTTGTTTCTGAAGGTTATAACCTTTCTAATCCAATTGATTTGAGGCCTTACTGGGCAAAACATGGTACCAACAAGTTTGTGACCATCAGGTAGATGTACAATGTGGATTCCGTAAGTGGGCCTCCCATTGCATTCGGTCTGTTTCTCCTGTATATATGTTTGTGGCCTGTTGCAGAGGCTTCTTGGATAGTATGTAGCCATGAATTTTCCCAGTCATTTTACATGTTTTCAAAATTCAGACATTGATTCCCCGGATATGCTGTTGCCTTCTTTCATTATTGTAGTTAAATTTAAGGGTTATTGATCCTATCTGGCTGCCAGGATTTAGGAATTAATTGATGAGATTTTACTCCTTGAATCCTCATAGGATGGTTTATTTCTTTTCTTCTTTCTAATGCTATAAGTCTAATGTTACAAGAAACAGATTTTTGGACAGTCATTGTCTCTTTTGTTTCCTTTATTGATAGTTGATACACCATTATACATGAAAAGTTTTCATAATGTCATTTTGGTGACGACATGTTATTGACTCAGTGCCCAAGTTGTTTTTCATCTATTTATTTTAAAGGGCTCTTGAATTGATGATATTATAAATTTTCTCTTTGCTGGATGCATTTAAATCTTTATGTGTTCCCATTTCCTGTGATTATGTGTTCATCTACAATTCTACATGTAAATTTTGGGGGGAAATTTGGTTATTTTTACATATATACAATTCGTAGATGCATGTTTGTCATGATATTTTGAAAGTTAATAAGGGACTGGTTGGCATTCTGCATCAACCTTATGCTCCACCTACTATTGGTGGCATTCACAGCAAAAGCTACTATTAGGTGTCCAGAGTTTTGACTTTTTAATCTAAAATTTACTTACAAGAATGGGCTTATTTGCACACATGGTGAGGCTTTTTGGGCCTAAAATTTTCCTTGAATACAAGGTGAGGAGAGGAACTCATGAGACTTCTTGATCTCCAAGCTAATCATCAGCAGTGTTTTAAAAGCTCAAGGGCCTTTTAGTGGCTGGGGCACAAGGCACATGGCTAGTGGCATGTCATTTCAAAGCTAAGTGTAAACTTCTGTACAAAATAAAAAATAGTAATGCATAAAAATGAAAACCTGCATTTTCAAAGAAATTAAATGTTTGAAAAAGCCTATTGGCTCCAATATAACATATGAAACATATTCAAAGTAAAAAAAAATGTAAAAGCGAAAGCAAACATATGTGGTTAGTACCAAGGTGCTTCAAGCACTTCATTCAAGCATGTGAATCTTTCAATCTGTTTATTTATCTCCTAGTTGCATTACTTTGAATGGTAGTGTCATGTTAAACATCTTGCATTCCTAATCCTAGGAGATTGGCACTCTGACTCTGTGAAGGCCTTTTCTGGTAAAGCCTGAACAAAGAAAATTTAATATTTTAATGTAAAACTTGCCTTAATTGAAGGGTTCTCCCCTCAAGTCATTGATCAACCGAGGGGCCCCTCTTGGTTGGTCCTTGTTCAATTACCCAGTTGATGTCAGCTCTATTTGTGAACTTGGATAGGTGTTTCCCCCGAGTTATGGCCATGTAAAGTTTAATAAAATCAAGCTTTCCTTAGAGTGGTTAATTATGAAGACATAAGGGATTTGGAGCTGAAATTTAAAGGTTTTGCCAAAGCATTGTAAGGCTGATATTTATAGCTGCCTCAAGAGGGATTAAAGATTGAATTGATGCAACAGTAATGCATATTACTGTGGTTATTTGGCAATTGACATTGTCATCTGAACAGATGAGTTTACATTTCTCGCTGCTTCTCTGGGTATTAATATTTCAGTACTGTCTTCTTTATGTCACATCCTTTCTATAATTGTTTAGTCAATGGTCAGTTTCTATTTTTAAATTTACTTCCCATTGAGGCTACAATTAGTCAATTACAGCTTTTTTTTTGTAAGTTCTGCTGTTCTCTACTGTTTTTAGGAGTTGGGCATTTCCTCTAAATCATGTTGGTTGGGAGGAAAATGCAGGAAAAGAAAACATAATTTAAATGAAAGGTACTTAGTTACTTACCATAATTTGGTTGGCAAGGGAAATCAAAATGTGAAAGAAGTGGGAGCTGGGAACTTATGAGGTTAATGATATCATCCTTTTAATAAATCTTATTTTACTACCAAAAAAAATTCCTTATGAACTTCATTCATAAAAAAAAAAAATTCCTTATGAAAGTTTCTTACCACTTTCTCACCTATTGGACCATCACCCGCTGTCTCCTAGAAGCAAGTTCTGGTCAAAAGTTAACAAGGGTCTTTTATAGAAGTAATAGTGGGTAAAGTAGGAAAGGAATTGGGTTGGAAGCAAGCTAAATTATATAAATATGAATAAATGGAGCACCATTGGTTATGAAGAAACCAAAAGTATCTAACAATGGTCATTTAGTGCACCTGACCAAAGTCTTCTTGGGTTCAGAGGATGGTGTTATCAGTGTAAGTCCTTGCAATAGTTTCAAAAGGATTTATAAGAGGAAGGGGGTAAGAGTTAAAGTGAGAAATCAAAAGGATGTGGAAAAAAAGTATCATTGGATCAGCTAAATTTGTTAGTGAGAAGGGAGAAATTGGACCAAAATATGATCATCAGGGTTTGGATGTTGGAACTAATGTAGAAGGATTGGAGGAGCAAGTGGAAGCGGCAGAAATCATTCGTGATCAAGTAAGGTCTGTTGAGAAAAGGTTTGGTATGGAAAAAGTAGTTGATGTGGAAGTTCAAGTTAGCAAGATGTTGTGCTTATTTTTTCTGGGTAGGGAGTAGTTTACGAGAAAAAAAAACTTTATCGAACTGGACTCTAGAAAGATCGAAGGAGGTAATTCAAAAATAAGGGGGAGGAAGTGGAGTTTGAAGAGGAATGAATGGTTGAGGGTATCTTGAAGGGTTGATAGTATTGGTTTATGGGGGGTTCTATTAGATTTTGGATGGAGGAGCATTAGTGTATGCTGTGGTTATCAAAGGAAAGATGTTGGAATGGGGGAGGTTATTTAAATGTTGTAGAAGAAAATGGGTTTATCTGGCTTTTGCATAGGGGATTTGTGTTTCTGGCATTCTCGTAGAGGTTTCTGATTGTTTTACTTTTGTTTTTATTTTTTATTTTTTATCTGGGTGATTTCTCGGCACGTTGTATTGTTTACTTTTTTCCTTAATGAAAATTTCCTTTTACTATAAAAAAGTATCTTCTCTCTCTTTCTGTCTGTCTCTCTTACCACTGGCTTTGCAACTTTCACCATTTTTCCATGTAGAACTCTCAAAATGAACTGAACTGAACTTAGACTGAATCTCAACTGTTTGGGGTTTGGTTCTTGTCCTGCCATCTTTCTCTATGAAGAACCATATCTTTTGGTGTTCTTTCAAATTGGTGACTGTCTTTCCATAGGGAAGGATGTACATATTGAGAAATAGTTCTTTTCTTTCTTTCCACTTCTTTCTTGATCTAAACTCAGAATTCTTTCCTCGGTTAACTATTAGTCTATTACTCTATGAGAGTAGGGTGGTATTGGAGTGGTCAATTCTTTACTATGGGATTCAAGTGGTTCATCATTGAGGGAATTGATAAATGGTAATTAGATAGTTTGGACTAAGGAGTGGAGTAGGTAGAGATGGTTTGGACTGGCGATGCCCAGGGCCCGCTTGTAATTTGTAAGCTTTTCTTCTTGTTGCCTTTTGGGTTTGTTGGTGTTTGGGGCTTTTGGGATAATTCAATTTGTAACTTTGTATTCTCATTGCTTTGAGCCTTATTTTGTACCTCATGGGTTTCGTAATGAAATTTCTTGTTGCTTATCAAAAAAAAAAAATGGTAATTAGATGTATGAGGTTCAAGGAAAGAAAAGGAGCCTTGTAGAGAGGTGAAATCTTTGCTTTCACTTTGCTTTTTAGTTTAAAAGTTGCTTCTGAGAAAGGGCTTTTGTTGGTCATGTAGCAAGAGATTTTAGCTAAGATTTTTCCCATGGGTTGAAGGGCAGTAATATATATTTTTTCTAAGATTCATCTAGATGGCTTATTCTTCTTGGAAAACTATATATAGAAACATATTAAATGGGATACCTGTATTCATGTCTATCTGGGATCTTAGGATCTAGGAAATGGTGGAGAGTTGTACCCCCCTTTCCCATATCCATGTCCATGTCTGCATCCATATCTGGAAATCATGGAGAAGTTGTTGAAAGCAGCATCAAGAAGTTTGCTATTTGATCAACCAATGGAGGTCAGCTTGCTATTTGATTCTTATACAGTTCTACTTTTGCTTGGCCCAAGTAAAGGGGGAGAATCATGTGGATAGGTGTTAGGGCTGCTTTGAAATGTACCATCTGGGAAGAGAAGAATGCAAGAACTTTCACAGAAAATGAGAGAAGCAAAGAAGCGGTGAGAGATTGTGTTGTGGCCAAGGTGATTCATTAGATTTGAACCTTGGAGTTGTTTTTGCAGTTCTCCTTTGATGATATGGAGAAACTGGGAAGTGGTGGCTAGAAGCTCCTCTAAGAAGGAAAAAGTGAATAGTTTGGCAGCCTTATCCTGATGGTTTTGTAAAATTGAACTTTGGTGGAAGCAGTCTAGGTAACCTGGGCCCCTTAGGAATAGATTATATATAGGAGGGATTTTGAGAAATGCGAAAGGACATATTGTTGCTTTGTTCTCAGGCCCAGTAGGAATAGGTGACTTGGCCAGAACTGAATTACTTGCTACTACAAGGAGTTAAGATTGCAAGTGAATTGAGTATGCAAAATGTGATGATTGAAGGGGACTCAAAATTGGTGGTGGGGTGATTGAAGGAACTGGAATCCATAATTTAGTGCTTTAGGGATGAAATAAAAAAGTTTAAATGGCTCACTAGAAGTATGGATTTGAGCATAAATTGGGTGAGGAGATCAGCTAATGGGATGGTGGATAATCTAGCTAAACAAAGGGTGAATAGAAATATTTTGTATGGGGCTCAAATGTAATACTTGAACTATGTATGTAAGAAGGGGTAGTTTAAATGGCTCACTAGAAGTATGGATTTGAGCATAAATTGGGTGAGGAGATCAGCTAATGGGATGGTGGATACTCTAGCTAAACAAGGGGTGAATAGAAATATTTTGTATTGGGCTCAAATGTAATACTTGAAATATGTATGTAAGAAGGGGTAGTGTCTTGTGCCTCTCTAAGGAATGCCTTGATGTTTTTTATTTATTGAAAAAAAAATTACTTGTCAAAAAAAGCAGCATCAAGAAGTTTGAGTTATGGAGAGAGAGAATGTATGATTTGAAACTTGTGTTATCCTGTAAGGTCAGTTCTAATTGCAGTTGACCATGGTTTGAGAATGTGTTGCCTGTTTGTTCTTTGGGTCTTCAATGCTTGTTTATAGGACTTTTGAGGATGGGGGACTGATACAGACCTATTAGCATCATTGAGACATCAATCATTTGGTTGGTATT